TACGTACGTACATACACACATAATCAGTATGTATACACGGGTGTGTTCACACACACACACGACACACTCATGTCTGCAAGCATGCATGTATCCAGCATGCATAGACGCCAGGACAAAGCTTCTTCAGAATCTCCAGCCGAAGGCTCGCTTCCGGCGCCGCGCAGCGAAAGCCACCTGCGGGGAGTCAGCAGCTGGGTCAACCTCCTTAGTCTTGGAATAGAGATGCCCATAGGGGTCTCTGAACTGAACTTGAGTGGCATGTTTGCTTTGGAGCTACGAGGGCGGGGGCATGAAGTTCGTAGTCCGTTGTCCGTCAGACGTTGTCCGTCAGACTTCTTTATTCTTGACCTGAAGCCTTCTGCTTTAGAGCACTGCTTCGATGAGTTTGAGGTTGACGGGTACCCCTCGTATCGATGCGTTTATCCTCGAAAACTCTTTGCGTTTGGGGGTTGGAGGAGTTTCGGAAGGCAGCAGGCTTGTGCATCTTGTGCCTTGGTCGAAGATCACCTGTGTCCGATGTCCGGGCTTTGCATACACATGAAACTTCCACTCCTGTTTTGACATGTGTCTGAATCCAACTGCAGAACCAGCACGCACAACGGGAAACACAAGCGTTTGATCCTTGTAGCTGACATCCGCATGCCACACAATGGAACGTTCACAGCCAAGGTCCCTGTCGATTCCGGGATAGAGCTCCTCTAAGCATGATGGAATCAGCTCATCCACCCCTGACTCGTGAGACCGTCCAGCTTGGATTCGTCTCGGGCTGTGCGCCAAGGCAGAAACAAGGACACCTCGGCGAACAGTTCGAGCCCAGTGCCGGAGGATTCGGTACTCAGCTACGACGAGGAGGACCATCAAAGGTGACTAGTCGCATGTCTCAAGTTTGTTTTTCTGGTCGTGCGGCTCTTGGTCACCAGTCGCAGCCTAAGCAGTGCTTTCTGCAGGACAAGGAAGCACTCGGCCTGGCGAACATGCGACGCTGGCTCATCCAGTGTCTCGCCCCAGGTTTGTGGGAGCTCATGTCTGCTCGAGTCTTCTGCTAAGCAGCTCATTGAGCTGTGGCAGAGGCAAATACACAAACCTCTTGCAAGGAACAAGACTGGCTGGCACCGTGTAATGGTGAACCTGAATGAGTTTCATGACGATCTCAGCAAGCGGCTGAGCCTTGGGCAGAACGGGAAGATGGCAGGCAGTGCGGAGACCGTGCACAGAGAAGGTTTTCCATGTACCCATCGTACACGCTGAGTTTCAGCATGACTCTGCATCATCAGTCCATACTTGTCCTGCAAGAGGAAGGCGGTGAACGACAGCCTTCGCCCGCTCGGGGCCTTACCGCCCCTCAAGCTCAGTCACTCGGCTGGCTTTTGATACATGTCCTCCATCACCGGCTAACGGCTAACGGGCCAAGGTGATCCGGTTCTTGCAAGCACTCTTTGCCGGAACTTGCAGCTTGACTTCTCTGGCTTTTGTCCCGACACGGGTGTGCGTCTCGGCCAACCTCGAGGATGGACTCCTTCCGAGAAGGCCCCATGGCGAAAAAGATCACGCAGACGTGCGAGGACCTATGATTGCAGGCTGTACTGCTTGGTGATCGATGTTAGGCCCTCTCTTAACTACATAGATGACCCATACGGCTACAAGACGTGACGGGTGTCCGTCCAGTCCCGCTTCAGGATCTTGCGGCGCTCCAGAAGCTGCAGTCGGAAGGAGGCCAGGATTCCACGCTCGATGCTGTCCAGATCAGGGATTGGTGCTCTAGCAGTGAAAGCATGTCAAGTAGAGAGTAGAGTCATATATCTGGAGCAGTGGCAGTAGCACTGGGAGTAGGGCTAGAAGTTCGGAGTCAGTGGGGTTGAGTAGGACCAGGAGGCAGTGGCCGTAGCAGTAGCGGTAGCTGTAGAGTAGCAGAGACTCCCCAGTGGTAGCAGTAGCAGCAGGAGCAG